TCACAATTCCACCAACAATACATTAGTATTCCAATTTTCCCACATCTTCTCCAACATTTATCATGTTCCTGTTTTATCACGTTAGCCAATCTGATAGGTGGGATGTGGTACCTCAGAGCTGTTTTGATTTGCATTTCTCTAATCAACAGCTAGCTTGTTTTTATCACGAATATACTGGGATTGTGGCTGGTTAGTGTGCTGATCAATGTTCTTATGTCCTTCAAAGTAGTTTGTCGTTATAATATTGTTGTTGGTATATACATTCATACATATATGCATACATACATATGTATGTATATGTTGTTTTCCTGGTTCTGCTCCCTTCCCTCTGCATCAGTTCATATGAGTCTTCCCAGGTTTCCCCGAAACCATCCCCTTCACTGTTTCTTATGGCACAGTTCCTTCTTGGGTATACATTTAGCCACAAGTTTCTCGTAACAGACTATAGAGGTGATTCCTGAAAGTATAGTCGTCCCTTTCCTCCCCTTCCAGTCTCCTTACGTTTTACTTCCCTACACTAACCAGCAAGCCGCTGACACTGACCTCTGCTGTTGCTCACAGACCCCTGATCTCTGGACTCCATGTCTTTTTCCTGGCTGTGCCCCCTGCCTGGCATGCTCTCCCTCCTTATCTCCACCTCCTGGCTTCCCTGGCTTCCTTCAAGCCTCAGCAAAGGTCTCATCTCTTGCAAGAAGCCTTTCCTGCTCCCATTGAATGAAGGAGCCTTCCCTCCACTGATTATCTCCAATTTATCCTGAACACAGCTTGTTTGTATGGGGTAGTTGGCATGTTGTCTTCCCCATTTGACCGTGAGCTTCTGGAGGGCTGGAGCCATCTTGTATCTTTCTTTCTATCCTTAGCACCTAGTATTGGAAGACTTGTATAAACTCTTATGTGTGTGTATGTGTTTGTAAAAAGAGGTTTGGGTTTTCTTTCATTCCCAATGGGGGCAAGTGGGAGGAATAGCTGGATTTTCATTGTTTGAAAGAAAAAAAAAAACATAGGAAGGGGTCCAGTTATGAAGGCAATTAAAAGCCAAATGGAGGATTTAAGGTTTGAACCTGTAGGTAATAGAGAGCCACTGAAGACTATTGAATAGAAGGGTGACACAGGTCGCATCTTCATTTCTGGAAGATCAGTTTGGCTGCTGAGTGGGATAGACTGGAGTCGGGAGATAGTTGAGGCAGGCAGACCCCCAGCAGTCATAGTCCAGGCGTGAGGTGATGAGGGCTGCACCAGGAGAGGGTGTTGTGAAAGTAGGATCCGGCAGAACTTAGAACATCGTCTAAGAGGGAGTGAGAGTGAGGAGTTGAGGGTGATCGCTAGGCTGCAAGCTTGGGTGGCCGAAAGGACAAAGGTGCTCTCCACAGTTTGGGAAAGTTAGGGATAGAGGAGCATTTGGGAGGAAGAAATGAATTGTTTTGGACGCTGAGTTTAAATGTCTATCAGACACCCAGTTGGAGATGTGAGACAGGAGGTCAGCAGGGATGTTAGGGCTACAGTAACAGATCTGAGAATCACTGACAAGAGTTGAGAATTGGATCCGTGGGAGCCGATGAGATCACCAAGTGAAACAGTACCAAGGGAGAATAGCTGGGAGGACTCCCGCAGTCAGTGGGGTGGCCTGGATGAAGATCCAGCAAAGGAGTTGTCAGCCGGGGGGGAAGAGAACCAGAGGAGAGAGAGGAGAGAGGACCCAAGAGCAGAGGGCGACTGACGACGCCCAAGGCTGCAGAAGTGTCGAGGATGAGCTGAGGATGAGTGCTCTGGCGCTTTGCAGAGAGCAGCTTCTGTTAGATGAGGGAGTCGGAAGACAGACAGTTAAGGGAAAGAAGTGGAAGCACCTGGATGGCTTTCTCAAGGTTAGCAAAGAAAAAGACGAGGCACAGAAAGACAGATCCCCTCAAGTGCAGGCTTTTAGGGAGAGGGAAGATATTGGCACATTTGTAGGCAGGAGGGGAGCAGGAGTAAACGGGCAGAGAGTGAAGATTAGTGGGGCTGGGGGCAGCGAGGTGAGCCCACAGTGGATAGAGCGCTGGGCTCCTCTATCCTGAATTCAAATCCATCCTCAGACACTTCCATACCCTGGGCATGTCACTTCACCCTGTTTTCCTCAGTTTCCTCATCAGTAAAATGAGCTGGAGAAGAAAATGGCAAACCCCTCATTGTCTGCCAAGAAAACCCCAAATAAAGTCATAAAAATGAAGGTTCAACAAGACTGAAAATGACTGACCAACAAAGGGCTGAGAAAGGGCGCAATGTGCTGTAGAAGACGGATGGAATGAGGTCAGGCAGAAGGGTGTGCCTTGGCAGGAAGGGGGGGCCACCTCTGCGGGTGAAGCCGACTGTGGCAGAAGGCATGTGGGAGGGAGCCCTCAGAAAACGGCTGCGGCTTCTTCAGTGAAATACAAGGCAAGGTTTTTGCCGAGAGGGTGGAGGAAGGGGGGAAAGAGGGGAAAGGAGGTCTGGAAGAGCCACTGTGGAGAGTGGGGTTGAGTCCATTCTATTGTTGTTCGGTAGTTTTCAGTTTTGTCTGAGTCGTTGTGACCCCAGGTGGGATTTTCTGGGCAAAGTTCCTGTCATTTTCTTCTCAATCAGCTAAGGAGGCATAAAAAGATTGTCTTGCCCTGGCAAGGGCCTTGTTGAGATTACCCAACATAAATCTGGTGTGGATCTGGTCAGCTACTTCATTTCTTCCAGTCCCATTTAGAGGAATGTAAATAGGAGCAAAGACAGAGGATGATGGGAGTGAGCCAGGGCTGAGATTAATGAGAAGAGGGCAGTGTGGAGTGGAACAGTCAGGGTCGAGGTGCAGAACAGGGCTAGGGGTCAGGAGGCAGAGGGGAGGATGGAACAAAAGGTCACGTCCCAGAGACTCGAGAGGAAACCGACTGCTTGTACGGGAGTTGCTAGAGTGGGAACAGGACCCAAGACTCCACAGAGCAGTGTAAACTACCGCGAAATAACGTGAACAGCGTCCCACGGGCACACTTGCACGAGCCTGGAACCTGACCCAGCCCAGATTGGTGGCACAATCCACGTCGTTACTTCGTCCTGCTGCTGCCCAGGATGACTGGTCTCTTGTGAGCAAACTCCCTCAATTAAGCCTAACAAACCCTATTCATAACCAAGCTGCTGTGGGCCCCTCTTTGGCAACTCAGCATTCAATTGGGGGGCATGCCACCCTACAATTAGCATGATTAAGGCAGAAAGCTTCTGCCCCCTTACACCACCCACCTTGCCTACTGCAAGGATGTCCTTCTCTTTTCCAGGATGAGGCCCCAGAGGTAAACCAAGGTCAGTGATGGCTCCAGCAAGCCACATGGCCATACAGATTGAAGCAGACTTCCGGATGTGGCCAAAGGGGGAATTTTTTTCATACGTACTTGTACCAAGGGTTTTGTTTTTCTTGCTTTCTCAGTTGGTAGTGGGGGTGGAGGGAGAGGAGAAAAGGAGAGAACGCTGATGTGAAAACAAAATTTAAATTTTTTTTAATTGGAAAAAGTCATGATTAAATAAAAGAATTCCATAGTTCATGACGCTTTAGTGGAACACTTCTGACAGCCACGTCTGTGGGTAGCTGAGCTGGGAAGCAGGGGGTGAGAAGGGAGCAGATTGAGGGTCTCCATACCACATCCAGGTCCCTTAGTATGAGGACACTCACTGGGGACAGAAGCCGTGTCCTGGGAGGGCAGACAACAACCGCCAGAATCTCAGTTGGGTGAAAAGCGTAAACTCAACTAACTTTGAAGAAAGAGAGGTGACGGGGTAACGGTGGAAAAGGAAAACCCTGGAAGTGACAGCGGGAGGACAAGGAGAACTGACCCCAACCAGGGAGGGCCACGAGGGGCTGTTTCATCAGTAAAGAACCAGGTGTCGGTGAGTACAAGGTGGAAGGAGGAGCATGAAGGTCTAAGGGTGAAAGCAAGTTCCAAACTATAGAAAGGGAATTTCAGGACACTGGGAAGGGTAGGTAGGTGGGCCTCCTGGTGGGGGCGGGGGCAGGCAATAAAGGAACAGGCCATGGGGGAAGGGAAGCGGGATCTGTACAGTCCCAGCCAGGGTTCAGAATCCTTGAGGCAGGGTGAATGTGATGGGGGGAGAATGCTAACCCTTAAGGAGGAGTTCAGGCAGATCAGTGACTGGGGAGAAAGCAGGCAAACACTGTTCAGGGCTCTCCCTCAATGCCCAACCTCACAGCAGGTGGCAGGGAATGTTGAGTCTTGTGAGGTCCAGCTAAAAACAGGCTGGAGCCCAAGGCACAGCCTGCACGGTCCAGGACTGGCCTCCAGCCTTCAGCACCATGGAGAAGGCTCTGGGATGAAGGGGGGGCGGCGCTGATTCAGGAGGGAGGCCACAGGCAGGTGAGCTGACTCAGGGACAAAGGCAGAGGGTGCCCTACAAAGTCCCTGAGGCAAAGACAGAGGCCACAGCTTGCTGGCCAGGTCAGGCCAGGATCAGGACCCGGAGCTCTTTAAGCCTCCTCACCCACCACTCCCCTGGTAAAAACCCACCAATAAGCCCCTATGGAGGGAGCTCCCAAGGCCAAGCTCTTCCCAGGAGGCTAAATGATGCTGCAGGATCACACAGCAGTGAGGCAGCAGAGACAGGATGTGACCCCAAGTCTTCTAACATGCCCCCAAATACACACTGGTTCACGGATGTGCAATCATTCTTCACACGATCTGTTTGAATAGGTGATTTAAGCAGGGAGGCCCAGCGAACGTCAGCCCAGCTCGATTCCGCAGCCTTAGAAGACAAACGCAGACATGCCCACTGTGCTCTGAGGCTTACAAAGCACAGTATTTCCTCAGACTGAGTCACAGGCCTGTGCTTACTGCAAGGATGTCCTTCTTTTTTCTAAGATGAGGCCCCAGAGGTAAACCAAGGTCGGTGATGGCTCCAGCGGGCCACCCGGCCTCACTCAAGATGCATTACGGTTTCAACGTGTGCTGTGAAAAATAACTGACTCAATAAGATATTTACAAGCATTTATTTGGGTAAACACATAAAATATATTTTTAGGATATATATTTGAGAAAAACTAGATTTCCAAAGAAAAAATATCATATAACAAGAAAATAGTGACTGAAATTAGTGTTTTTAAGTGAGAACAGACGGCTTTAGGATTCAGAGAAAATATTTAAAATGGTGCCCAGCTGAACGTCCCTACTTCACAACACCTGAAGTTTCTCTGACAAGTCATTTTAAAATCCGTGTAGACGCTGCCACTTCAGAATGGAAAAAGAAAACAAACCTTTGGCAAGGAAAGTATTAGTCCATAGCAGCTTTGTAAAAATTATTTACTTTCTATCAAAACCCCACAATTCCGGCAACGTCTCATCCCAGGGCAGTGGGGGGCCAGGAGCGTGTGCAAAGTCTGCAAGTTATTTCAGAAGGACACAAGAAGCCGGCCTCCTGCCTGCAAGAGACGAGTGACCGTAAACACGCCCTCGGCCCGCCGCCTCCTACACGCTTCATCTGAATCCTTTTGTGTTACCCCTCTGGTGGGAAGAGACGTGGTGCCAGAGGAGGAGTACTGTGGAAAAGCCCTAAATCCCTTAGTAAAACCTTGATGCGAACCAAGCCTTGCCGAAACAGCCTTCCCTGCTCTCTGGCCACAGCAAGGAGGCTACGCAGAGGCTCCCCAAGGCCTTCAGGGTCGTCTTCCCCATCCTGCAGCACCATCCCTCCCCCCACGTCGCAAAGAGGAGAATCCAACATGTGAACTTGCAAACCAGACTCAGGACCGACCAGGAGAAGGAGTGGCCGTGGGCGCCAGAGGAGAGGTTAGTAGTGAAAGCTCTGCGCACCCAGAGAACAGCAATAGCAAAGTCGAGAGGTGTGTGCCCGTTGGCGGCCAAAGCCCAAGACCCGAGTGAGCGCCCTCTGATGGCGTCGAGAGCCGCCCGCCCGCCCGGGCTCAGCCCAGGCTCAGGCCTTCCCCACAGGCTTGTAGCAGGCGTCCGGCTGCCAGAGGCGAATGTCCACAAGCACCTGGTTCAGTTTCTGCACCCACAGGTCCCGTTCTTCTTTAGTATCAGCGGACAGCCAGTTCCTACGGGGAGAAGCGAGAACACGTCAGCAGCTCTTTCCCAGGTTGACGGGAGCGAGAACGTTCCTGGGCTAGCCCTCCTGGGGTCCCGCTAGGCCCCGCTCAGGCCCCAGTCTCCCCTGGCTGACGCTCAGGGCGCCGTTTCCTCTCTAGGAAGCTCCCCGGCCTTCTCCATTAAAACCGCTCCGACCTGGCTAGCGCCTAACCCGAGATGAAGGAAGAAGCTTCGGCTGCAGACCTGGCAAGGGGAGAACGCGCTCAAGGGACCGCTGCTCCGAGGGCCGCGTAGGGCCCAGCCCCCGTCCTTCCCCACTAGCCACCACCCTCTATTTCTCCTCTGGGGAAAAGGCTGCCGTTCCTCGGGCTTCGGGCCTCATCGTGTAGCCAAACCGCGCTCTTCCAAAGTCCTGGCTCGTCTTCCGGCCCCACCGCTCACCCCAGCCTCTAGAGGCCTTTGGGCCAGGCCCCTTGGCTGGTCTCCTGGGCTCCCCTCTTCTCCCTCCACTCCTCCCCAGCTCCCATGGATTCAGATCAGCTCTATGCAGATGATTCTCTTAGTTTTTCAGCTCTAACCTCTCTCCTGACTTTGGGTCAACGTCGGATGTCCCAGGTGTGTCCAAACATGACGTCATTACCTTTCCCGGCAAACTCTCTTCTCTTCCAAACTTCCTATTACTACCAAAGGGCATTGATGTCCACCCTCCCACTCACCTGGCTTTCAAACCAGATGTCATGCTTGACTCCCTACTGACTCAGTTATCCTACCTTCTCAACGTCTCTCAAATACAGGCCCCTCCTCTCCTCTGACCCTGCCCCCAACCTCACATATGGACTACTGCAGTAGCTCCTTGGGGGTGGGGGGGGGTCTGCCTGCCTCCAACCCATTCTCCATCCAGCCACCCAAGCGATTTTCCTAAAGGTCTGTCCACCTCACACTCCTCCCCTACTCTATAAACTGCTATGGCTCCCCATCGCCTCTAGATCAAATATAAAATAATTTTTGGAATTCGAAGCCTGGCCCTGCCATATACCTTTCAGGGTAGTGACACTGGCCCCTTGGCTGGTCCTTGAACAGGACACGTCCCCCACCTCTAGGCATCTTCTCCGGCTATAGTGTTCCCCACCTAGAGTGCTCCCACTAACTGCTCCTACCCACCTCCTTGGCCTCCACCTCGTACAGGACGCCTTTCCCAGCCCCTCTTAATGCTGGTACCTCCCTCAGCTCATTATCTCCAGTTTGTCCTGCGTGTGGCCTGTCTGCACGTGGTCTCTCTCATTAGACTGGATGCTTCTGGAGAGCAGAGACCGTCTCCTGCCGTAGGCATTTCATCAATGCTTACTGGCAGATTTTTCTGGCGCTGCCACGTGGCTGCCAGGCATAGATTGTCACAGCGTGTAAAGAACCGTGAGATGGGAGTCACTCAGAGGACGGCGGAGCCATGAGAAGCACCCGAGGTGTCAGAGATATATGACAGAATAGGAAAACGTCTTGTCCTCTGGTGGGACGAGGGGATACCTGGGCTCCAATGCCTGTGGGGAGGGTCCTCGACAAGGCATGACAGGCCAGAGTCACGTGGGGGTCACTGACTATGGCCAAATCCCATCACGCCTTGTTCCATTGCTCTGGGGTTTGCTAGGGCTGCTCTCCGTGGATTCCCTCCTTACAAGGACTGGCCTTTGCTGCAGGCCTGTCAGGGCTCTCTCAGGACCCCGGGCCCGTGCCTGCTGCGGGGGCTGGGAAGGACCTGCAGCTGCCAGCTTCCTTCCCTTGGCTCCCCAGGGGGCATCCCGCCACCAGGAGCCACATGTGCGCGCCCAGGGTCCTCTCACTGCCCTGAGCACCCCACGCTCGCATTTCCCCTCAGAGTGTCTGTCGACATCTCTCCTCAGACTCTCGAGCTCCATTCCCTTTAGCTAATGACGGGCTGTCGGCTTCCCAATGGGCTTCTCTCTCCGTGGGCTCTTGGAGCCTGGGAAGAGCTCCAGGGAGGGGACAGAGGGCTCTGCTGGTAAGGAAGCGCCCCCCCACCCCCGCACCCGCCCTTTGTTCTAGGCTCTGCTTCCTCCTCCCTCCCACTGCCCCATCCCCCTCCTCTCCCCAGGCCAAACGCCCTGCCATTCCTTCCATGACAAGCACTGGCAGCCGGTCCCCCCGACTTGTCCCATCCAAATGCCCTCCGGGTGACCAGTGATGATCCTAAGCCCGGGCTCCCAGGACGGGATGTGGGTATGGCAGATGTGGGAGATGAGGGCCCAAGACAGCAGGCCCCTCCCCCAGCTAGCCCAAGATGGCATTCCCTTCTCTGGCGGCCATCGCCAGCTGACTCACGTGGAGTACGCAAGCCCATGGAAGCTTCTACCACAAACTGGAGGCTGAGACAGCCTTGGGGGGCACCAAGATCCCTAGCCTCCAATGGGCTGGCCATGGTCACGAGCCTTCCCAAGCTCCCATGCTCACTAAAGCCTTTCTGCACGTCCGGCTGCCTCCGGGGGAAACGCTCTGAGAGCAGGAAGGAGGTCTCTCCAAGTGTCCTCTGCTCACAATTCTGCTTCCTATGTCTGACCTCTGTCCCCGACCTGTGCCCATCCCCCCAGCCTGAGCAGGGTGCGCACAGTAGGCACGCCCACCAAGGCAACACTCACTTGGTGACGCAGAGCGTGTCTCTGCACTGACTGACGAGGGTCTCTTTGTCATCTTCCCGCTGAGGTCGGACAGTAATCAACTCAAACGTGTTTCGGCGGGCACAGAATTCTCGGTTGGCTGGTTCTATCTGACGACTGGTACAGTTGGCCAGGTTTATCCTCCCTATGGGGGTCTTTAAAAAATAAAGACAAAAACACACCAGGAGATTTCCACATCCTAGGTCATATTTTAAATCAGCAAGAATCACACTGAACATTTTTATTTACTCATGTTAAACTACTGATACAAAGCTCTTTAAAATCACCATTCCATCATCCACTATCACATTCTGGATAGAAAGTACTCCTGTGAGAGTGCCTGCCCCGCCCACAGCTCAGCTGGCTGCCATTGCTGAACAGGTCAGGGGAGCACCAAAGTGGGGAAGAAACCTAAGCCCATGTGACCTTGGGGACCCTCACCCCATTCAATCATCCTCCACAGCCCAGCACTGGGTGGTTCTCCAGCCTTCACCCCATGCCACCCTTTGCATGTGACTCAGCTGAACACCAGAGCCAGGAGGGAGGTCTCCTCCAGAGACACTCTGGGAGAAAGAGGGCTGGACAAAGCTGGAAAGGATGCCAAGCCGCCAGCTGAAGCACACACCTCGTCTTCATTCCTCAGCGTGCCCAGCGGACTCCCGCAGACCACCCACCCCCAGCAGAAAGGTGACCTGTCTACCTAGGAAGGGCTTCACGACCCTGTGCTGCCCTCGCTGACACACAAAAGCCATGATTACCTTTCGCTTCTCGTCGTCCGGGTACGTCCAGTAGGAGATGCAGTTTCCAGAAAGAACGCACCAACGCCGATGCCAAGCTCCAAACCCGCTGACGTCCTCAAAGATGGTCTGGAGAAAACAAACAGCAATGGGGAACTGAGGCCAGGGCAGTAAGGGAAAGATGCCGGCTGAGTCTCAGCCTAAACTTGTGAGTGAAAGGGGGGGTTTAGCAAGTCCTAGGATTGGCAGTCTGGGTGCAGGCCGAATCACAATGAGAGACATCTGGGGATGCGCACGCGTGTATACACACACACGCACGCACACACACACGTGCGTACACACGCGCGCACACAAAGGATCATGGGAAAACCATCAAAGGCTCAAATGTCAACGACAGCCTCAAGCACATTGAGGACTCTCTCTGCCAGTGATCCCATTTTCTTTAATCATCTCCATTACAAGGTGGTCACCACATCTATTGCTAAAGTAGGCCTTCTAACATTTCACCTAGGCCTTCAGAATGGCTCTGGTCAGAGAAAGCACTGCAGAGTGTAGCCCAGGCCAGAGAGGAGCCCTGCCCCCACGCCCGCAGCCCCCCACCCACAAATCACTCCCAGAGGTGCTGGCTGACACCATTTGCACCATTGGACGCTTTGTCTAAGAAATAGTGACTTTTTCTCTCGCCCTAATTTCATTAGTGATGTAATCTCTTGTGATGAGACCAAGCATATCTTGTTTTAAAGCATGATAACTCATCGAGTTAACCACCACCAAACAGCTTGGTGGGGCTGGGAGCTTTTTGCGCTTCCCTGCCTCTCTATGTACATCCAGACTTGTTTCCCCTTAGAATGAATCCATTCTATTCCCAGGGAAGCACAAAGGACCACAAAACCCATCATCCTACTGTGCGCGTGGGAGCCCAATGCTTACTCTCAAGTTCCTGTTTACCTTTCTCTTGTCATTTGCTCTGAGCAAGAAAGATCTCAGAAAAGCTGATGGAAGGCAGCCATGAGCAGGGGACAACTTGCTGCCAAAATAACCGTGTCTTTCAGTCTACTGGCTCTGCGGGGACCTCTCCAGGAGGTCGCAGCCCTTTCTGACCAGCATCCTCTGCTGTCTCAGGCAGCCTCCCATCAAAAACGACTCCTTGTGAGGTTAGGCAGAGGGAGGAGGGGAGGGGCAGGGCCAGGAAACACAGGCTCTGACTCTAAATCACAGCTCACAGCAGAGCGAACGCTCAGAACGTGACAGTCAACTGCTTAAGAAATCCTAGCGCAGCTGCCAATCATGCCACAGGAAAATATTTTTCTTTGAAAAGTATATTCCCCCCCAAAACAATTGAAAAATTCTGAAAATTCAGAATTTAAAGCTCTCTAAACTGGGGCCATGTTTCTGAAAATGGGACTTCAAAGCACATCTACTGCCACCTACTGGATCCATTTGTAACAACAAATACTAGAAAACAACTTGGAAATCAGGTTTTTGGTGAATCCTTCCTCATCCTCCTCCTGCAGCCTCCCTCCCTTTGACCTGCTCTGCCACTCTCCCCCAACCCCAGACCTGGGGTCTCTCCCTCCTTGGAGGGCATTAGGGCATTTTCTGCCGGTACCACTGGCTTGGTATTTACAAATACATTGCCTTGAGACGTTTCTGGTTCCACTGACCCCCCTCCTCCCCTCCAGGTGCTCATCCCCCCTTCCTCCCCGCCCTTCTCACTGAGGTTCTGGAACACTGACCACGTCCACGGCCAGGCCTCCTCCCCTGGATCACTAAGGGGGTCAAGCATGGCTTTGTGGAGCTCTACAGCAGGAACAGAGACGAGCCAGGGTGCAGGCCTGATCCTGAGGGTGGCCCGCGGCCCCTCTCCTAGTCTTTGGCAGCTTTCATTAACGGTCAAACAAATCATACTATTTTAGACTTTTAGAATAAAATCAAGAAGTTTCACTTACCAGAAAGCCCTTTTCTTCCACAAATGAGTTCACCTGGCACTTTATTTTTAAATAAATATGACCTTCCAAAGGACACAAGAAAGGCACCTGCGGAAAGAGAGGCCGCTGTTGGAAGCCGCCCTGCCGAGAAGCGGGATTGAAAAAGCAACGCGAGGCCTCCCGAGAGGAGGGGGTTCTCGAGAGCACCACAGAGAAGCCAACTGTCCAGGGGCGTTCCTTTAGCAAACATCTGCTGGGTCATCTAACGAGAACGGGATCCACTTCACTAAGCCACACTGGCGGTGAGCTGGGGCAGGCCGAGGCGGATGGAGTCCACGGGCTACCACGTGCCCCCAAGGAGAACCAATGGCCCTCTTGCATGGGCACCCAGCCTGGGGGCCTGGCGCCCAAGACCTCCTTCTTTGGTCTCTGCTTTGCCAAGCCAGACAACCAAAGGCAGAGACTAAAATGCTCCGACAGGGTCCGTGGTGACATGTTGCAGAACGTCAGCGGTGGCACCACGCATCGCGTCTGACCTCCTCGGTCCCTCCACAGGAACACCCTATTCCCAGGCTCAAACTGACCTAGAAAATACGTGCACAGCAGAGCCCGGACATCTGGCTCTTCCACGGGCAGTGCCGACTGAGTCTCAGAACAAGATGGTGCAGCATCCCCACTCCGCGGCCACCCCTCCCACAGCACCAGGCTCCTTTGTGCCCTTCTTGATTCTCTTTCATTCCAATTCTTCTGAGGGGGGACAAGAAGCCTGCCACTGGATGGAGGAACCCTACACCCCTTCACAGAGGCAGCCCCGCCCCACACACTGACCACCCACCTGCCTGCCTGCCTCATTAGGGTGACTTTCCCTCTCTTGGTTTTCCAGAGACTGCTTACATCGCTCTCCCCTCTTAGGGGGCTGCCCTTCAAAGGGTGGATTGGCAGCATTCGGGTGTAAAGCCCCTAATAAAAGCACACGGGAGCTCAGAAAAGGTAGGCCAGGGAACGCTAGGGGAGAGGGATGGCCCACGTGCTAGGCTGAGAAGCAGGAAGGCCCTCTGGTGACTACTGGCTGGCCCCCTCCACCTGAGGAAGGACACAGGGGCTGCAGACATGGCCCAGGATGGGGCAGGGGGGTGGGCTGCACTCTGGAGTAAGAGATATATAATCACCAAGACTGCTCCAAGAACACGTCATGGCACTGCCCCCGGGCAACAGGCTTGAGTTTTATCCTGCCAGGAGGACACACGCATAACTGGCCATCAGAGGGGCTGGCAGGGAGCAAGCTGGTCACCACATCAACCTCATTGCAAGGAGCCCCAGACAGGGAAAGCCCGGGGCCTGAGGAAGGGGGCATCGACAGCCAGCAACATCTGACAAAATGGGGGAAGGGGGTCTGTGCACTCAGAGACCTGGGATGTCACATCTACCTGTTCAACACAATATTGCAAGAATTGGGAGGGGGGGCAGTTAAGGTGGGAAACTATCTGCCCCCTCAAACCTTCAAGTTTTCAGCAACATCTGTTTTATGGGTACAAAAGAGGGGTTTGGCTTTGTCCTCGACAAGCCCTGAACTAAGATTCTTTACAATTCTCTCTCTCCTCTCCCCTCCTTCTCTCTCCCTTCTCTCCTCTCTCTCTCTCCCCCTCCTTCTCTCCCTCCTCTCTCCCTCTCTTTCTTTCTCCTCTCTCCCTCCTCCCTCTTTCTCCTCTCTCCCTCCTCTCCCTCTCTCCCTCTTCTCTCCCTTCTCTCCTCCCTCTCTCTCCTCTCTCCTTCTCTCTCTTTCTCTCCCTCCTCTCTTTTATCTCTCTCCCCCCTCCTCTCTCCCTTCTCTCTCCCTCTTCCCTCTCTCCCTTCTCTCTCTCCCTCTTTCTCTCTCTCCTCTCTCCCTTCTCTCTTCCCTCTCTCTCTCCTCTCTCCTTCTCTCTCTCCTCTCTCTCTCTCTCCCTCTCCCTCCCTCCTGTCTTGTTTGTTAGAGCCTTTTAAAAGTAAAGACAATTCAGTAAACTGCTTTCTGGCACCTGACCAGAGCTACAGACCAACACTCGAGCTGACTATGACCCCGAGGCGCTCACTGTGTCACTCAGTCATTTTCCAGCTGCATCCGACTCTCCGTGACCCCACCTGCTGCTCCCCTCTCCAGCACATACCCCCTACCCCATTATGTAGGTACTGAGGCACGCTGGGCAGCTAGGTGGCGCTGCAGCAGAGTGCACACCAGGCCTGGAATCGGGACTCAGCTTGCCGAGTTCAGATCCAGCCTCAGACACTTACTGACCGCATGACCCTGGCCAAGTCATTTGACCCTGTTTGCCTCAGTTTCCTCATTGGTAAAATGAGCCGGAGAAGGAAATGGCCAAGTGCTCCAGTGTCTTTGCCAAGAAAACCCCAAATGGGGTCACAGAGTCAGACACGACTGGAGTGACTGAACACCGTCTATCTCCACACACTCCAGAGCTGCGCCCCAAGACCCCCGGGCAGACAGCACCTCCACTAGGCCCAGACGCCAAAGGACCCACTTGGGGCCTTGACTGTAAACGGATCCTCAAGCGGAGGGTTTCCACCGGCACCGACAAAAAGCAACGCTACTCTCACTCAGAACTTTACACTCAGCGACACTACTTGTGGCATTCCCATGACGTACCCGATCATGGCAGAGAGCCCGGGGGGAGGAGAGAAAGCCGGGAGCCCCCGCGCGTGCACGAGAAAGAGCCCTTGTCGCTCCCTGAAAGAGCAAAGGGAAAGAAAGCCAGGACCCCCGCGAGCCCGGACAAAGGGTGATTGGCATCAGGTTATCAATCAGGTTTCTCTCTTGATGTCTTAAGAGTAACAGGTTAGTGAGGCAGACACAGAGCATGCAGCAGGAGTTAGGGGGGCCGTCCTCTACACGTATTAGTTGTAAGCAAATTAAGTTGTATAGCAACCTTGTCGTGGAACATATAACCCAGAAGCTCTCGCTCTTTTACATCATAATTTATCTAAAATGTGAAAATAAAAAAAGAAAAGAAATACCTGGATCACTGCTATTTGTTAAACTAGCTGAGGTTAATCAAATTTTTACAAGGTTTTATCTTTAAAGTTTTCAATCTCAGGAAAGACCTTTATTTACAGCTTAAAAACAGAAATGTCCTACTTGCTTTGTTCAATGACGACCGGCCTAGGCCGTGAGATGCGCAACATTCTCTCCCCCAGGGGGGAGAGCCCCAGAGAGCTCGCTAGCTGAAAGATCCCGCTGCACAGCGAGAAGATGTCACAGCACTAAAAACCCAGTGACTTCATCTCAACGTCAGCACCAGCTCCCCCACGGGTGCCGGCATCGGCCCTTGCCATCTTTTCTCTTGCGCTGCCAAAGCTCAGTGGGGAGCTCCCCCGGGCCTAAGGCAGGCTCCTCTCCGTCGGTCACAGACGGCGACAAGGAGAGGGGTCAACCGCACAGTCTCTGCCAGACTGCCCCATGGCTAATCGAAAACAGGCCAGTCTAAAGACACCATGCCTCTTCACCTAAGGTTCTAACACGGCCTTAATTGTCTTTAAACGGTGAAATGACGACCTGAAAGTCCTTCGCTTTTTTTGATTGGGTTTTGGGGGAGAATAAAAATGACCTTAGACAAACTTTTGTTAAGAACGTCGGATTACCTTGTCCAAAGCAAACTTGGTGCTTCCTACAGAAGCCAGCGACAGGGTGTGAGACCCGACAAGCACAAAGTTGCTGGTGCGCACGGCGTGGAGACCGCCCGGGCTGGCCATCGCTGCGGAGAAGACACACATGTTTAGCCAGGAATCGAGCATGGGAGGGGCCCCAAGGGACCGCCCCCACCCCACCCGGGGGCCTGGGTTCTGCTCCTGCCCCGTCTGGCCTTCATCTCTCAGCCCCAGTCGAGGGTTCGAGACTTGAGGCGACGCACCTGAAGAATGGAGACTGCTTTTCTAGAAAAGAAAAAGAGGGAAATGTGGATTACATTCTTCCTTTGATGGACCGAAAAAAAACTGGACGCGAGATGACAACGATACTTTTAAAGGTTGATCCAGGCACCGGCTCAGTCACAGACTCATGTCAACCTCAAGTCTGAGACTCCCCAGATCTGAGCCGCTGGTCTTCACGCCCAGAGCCCCGCCCTCATTTCCACCCCGGAAGAAGTCAGGGCTACTCACAGCAGTGATGGATGTCAAGAGTCGCTTTGGGGTGATGGCCTAGAACGGAAGCAAGCGCGAGGTAAGGCAGACCACCCACAGAGGCCCCTCCGTGAACGGGGAGCGAGCCTTTCAAGCCCCAAATCCTCCTCCTCCTCCTCGGGCCGCTGGCCCCCAGGCGTCAGCATGGGCCCGGAGGGCCACTGCCACAAGAAAAGAGGCCACCGGCCCTCCAATCTCCCAGGCAGACCACAGGATTCCTCCTTGTCTCTGCCTTCGCTCCCCCCGCCCTTGGTGATCCAGCCTCTGCACCTGCTAAGCTTATCAATGAAGGAAAAGCATTTATTAAACGTTTACTGTGTACCAAGCAGAGGCTACAAACGCCAAAACAAGACTGCCCTCCCCTCGAGGAGCCTGCAATCCAATGGGAGACGACCCAGGACGCAGGGCGGTGGAGGCAGGCGGCCCCCAACACACGGGCGCGTCCACACCTTCTCTCCCCTTTCTGAAGGAGCCACCGCCCACCAAGGCCACCTTCGCTTCCGGGCACAAACCATCACTGGCTGCCTCTCGCTCCCTCATCACACTGACCTAAGCTCCTGGTGCCATCCCGTAACCCAAGTCCACCCTGAGATCCCAGATGAACAGGGTGCGACTCTCCAACGGGATCCAGCCGCATTGCTCCCTTCTAGATCAGTGCACTCTGGCTACGTTTGTGGGGGGGGGGGGGGGGGGG